CTCTCTACTACACACACTACCTCTCTACTACACACACTACCTCTCTACTACACACACTACCTCTCTACTACACACACTACCTCTCTACTACACACACTACCTCTCTACTACACACTACCTCTCTACACCTCTCTACTACACACACTACCTCTCTACTACACACACTACCTCTCTACTACACACACTACCTCTCTACTACACACACTACCTCTCTACTACACACACTACCTCTCTACTACACACACTACCCTGCTTGTTTTACCTTGACCCTGCGACCTCACATTATTTTCAGGCTGTTGATCAGTTTTTTTCCAAACTTGAAGGGCAGCGTGTTGAGCTGAAAGCCATGCAACAAGTAGGTGATGTGTTGATGTCAACATTTGGTGATGTGTTGATGTTAACATTTGGTGATGTGTTGATGTTAACATTTTGTGATGTTTTTGTGTGAACATTTTGTGATGTGTTTGTGTCAACATTTAGTTGATGTGTTGATGTTAACATTTGTTGATGTGTTGATGTCAACATTTAGTGATGTGTTTGTGTCAACATTTAGTTGATGTGTTGATGTAAACATTTTGTGCTGTGTTTATGTTAACATTTTGTGATGTGTTGATGTTAACATTTTTGATGTGTTGATGTCAGCAATTGTTGATGTGTTGATGTTAACATTTGGTTTATTTGATGATGTTAACATTTGGTAATGTGTTGATGTTAACATTTGGTGATTTGTTGATGTTAACATTTGTTGATGTGTTGATGTTAACATTTGGTGATGTGTTTGTGTCAACATTTAGTTGATGTGTTGATGTTAACATTTGTTGATGTGTTGATGTCAACATTTAGTGATGTGTTTGTGTCAACATTTAGTTGATGTGTTGATGTAAACATTTTGTGCTGTGTTTATGTTAACATTTTGTGATGTGTTGATGTTAACATTTGGTGATGTCTTTTGTTAACATTTAGTTGATGTGTTGATGTTAACATTTAGTTGATGTGTTGATGTTAACATTTGGTTTGATGTGTTGATGTTAACATTTGGTTGATGTTAACATTTGGTGATGTGTTGATGTTAACATTTGGTGATGTGTTGATGTTAACATTTGGTGATGTGTTGATGTTAACATTTGGTGATGTGTTGATGTTAACATTTGGTGATGTGTTGATGTTAGCAAATTTTGATGTGTTGATGTTAACATTTAGTGATGTGTTTGTGTCAACATTTTGTGATGTGTTGATGTTAACATTTCCCCAGGAGAAGACAGCTCTCAAGAAGCTGGACTTTGTGAGATCCGATCAGGAGAAAAGAATAGAAAATCTACAGAAGGAGCAGGTATGTTCAATACTAGACATTTGACAGGAATGGAGATTTTAGGCATTTTGCAGGGCCGGGGATTTCATTAGGCAGAATAGAAATTTGGCCACAGAATAGAAATTTGGCCACATAATAGAAATTTGGCCACAGAATAGAAATTTGGCCACATAATAGAAATTTGGCCACAGAATAGAAATTCGGCCACATAATAGAAATTTGGCCACATAATAGAAATTTGGCCACAGAATAGAAATTTGGCCACATAATAGAAATTTGGCCACAGAATAGAAATTTGGCCACATAATAGAAATTTGGCCACAGAATAGAAATTCGGCCACATAATAGAAATTTGGCCACATAATAGAAATTTGGCCACAGAATAGAAATTTGGCCACATAATAGAAATTTGGCCACAGAATAGAAATTTGGCCACATAATAGAAATTTGGCCACAGAATAGAAATTCGGCCACATAATAGAAATTTGGCCACATAATAGAAATTTGGCCACAGAATAGAAATTTGGCCACATAATAGAAATTTGGCCACAGAATAGAAATTTGGCCACATAATAGAAATTTGGCCACAGAATTTTTTTTCTCCATCCTGTTCAGAAAACAATTCAATACCAAAAAAAGAAATTAAAATATGTACTAAATATGATTATGAACAGTAGCATGACCTCTAGAGGTGGACAGTAGCACGACCTCTAGAGGTGGACAGTAGCACGACCTCTAGAGGTGGACAGTAGCATGACCTCTAGAGGTGGACAGTAGCATGACCTCTAGAGGTGGACAGTAGCACGACCTCTAGAGGTGGACAGTAGCATGACCTCTAGAGGTGGACAGTAGCATGACCTCTAGAGGTGGACAGTAGCATGACATCTAGAAGTGAATTATTGTGTCTTTTTTTACTCTGCAGGCAACTGATATCTTGAAAGGTCAACTGATAGAGATGAATCTTGATTTGGTGAGTTACTGGTCAGACAAAACATTTGACCAGAGTCAGACATTTGACCAGAGTCAGACATTTGACCAGAGTCAGACAATTGACCAGAGTCAGACATTTGACCAGAGTCAGACATTTGACCAGAGTCAGACATTTGACCAGAGTCAGACATTTGACCAGAGTCAGACATTTGACCAGAGTCAGACATTTGACCAGAGTCAGACAATTGACCAGAGTCAGACATTTGACCAGAGTCAGACAATTGACCAGAGTCAGACATTTGACCAGAGTCAGACATTTGACCAGAGTCAGACATTTGACCAGAGTCAGACAATTGACCAGAGTCAGACATTTGACCAGAGTCAGACAATTGACCAGAGTCAGACATTTGACCAGAGTCAGACATTTGACCAGAGTCAGACATTTGACCAGAGTCAGACATTTGACCAGAGTCAGACATTTGACCAGAGTCTGTCCTCTGACAGGTGGATGAAGCTATCCTGATCGTGCGCAGTGCTCTGGCTAACCAGGTCGACTGGAAGGAAATTTCAAACTTTGTCAAGGAAGCGCAAACAAATGGCAACAAAGTGGCACTGGCCATTCATAGTCTCAAGCTGGAGACCAACCAGATCACACTAGCTTTAAGGTTAGAGAGCCATTGCTTGTATCTAGGAGAGCCATTTCTTGTATCTAGGAGAGCCATTTCTTGTATCTAGGAGAGCCATTTCTTGTATCTAGGAGAGCCATTTCTTGTATCTAGGAGAGCCATTTCTTGTATCTAGGAGAGCCATTTCTTGTATCTAGGAGAGCCATTTCTTGTATCTAGGAGAGCCATTTCTTGTATCTAGAGAGCCATTTCTTGTATCTAGGAGAGCCATTTCTTGTATCTAGGAGAGCCATTTCTTGTATCTAGGAGAGCCATTTCTTGTATCTAGGAGAGCCATTTCTTGTATCTAGTAGAGCCATTTCTTGTATCTAGGAGAATTAGATGTATTTCTCTGTTCTATGTAGAGAGCCATTTGTTGAATTAGATGTATTTCTCTGTTTCATGTAGAGAGCCATTTGTTGAATTAGCTGTATTTCTCTGTTCCTTGTAGAGAGCCATTTGTTGAATTAGCTGTATTTCTCTGTTCCATGTAGAGAGCCATTTGTTGAATTAGATGTATTTCTCTGTTCCATGTAGAGAGCCATTTGTTGAATTAGCTGTATTTCTCTGTTCTATGTAGAGAGCCATTTGTTGAATTAGCTGTATTTCTCTGTTCTATGTAGAGAGCCATTTGTTGAATTTGCTGTATTTCTCTGTTCTATGTAGAGAGCCATTTGTTGAATTAGATGTATTTCTCTGTTCTATGTAGAGAGCCATTTGTTGAATTAGATGTATTTCTCTGTTCCATGTAGAGAGCCATTTGTTGAATTAGATGTATTTCTCTGTTCTATGTAGAGAGCCATTTGTTGAATTAGCTCAACATAAAGTGGACATTGATCTTTCACTAAGTGCATACGGGAATTCCAGAAAGTAAGTAGATACTTTTCTTGTCATTTACCAAACTTAACTTGTCATTTACCAAACTTGTCATTTACCAAACTTTACTTGTCATTTACCAAACTTTACTTGTCATTTACCAAACTTAACTTGTCATTTACCAAACTTAACTTGTCATTTACCAAACTTTACTTGTCATCTGCACCTACAGGTATTTTGAAAGAAAGAAACAAGCAGCCAAGAAAGAACAGAAAACTTTAGAAGCTACTAGCAAAGTATGGTAACTTTAGAAGCTACTAGCAAAGTATGTTAACTTTAGAAGCTACTAGCAAAGTATGGTAACTTTAGAAGCTACTAGCAAAGTATGGTAACTTTAGAAGCTACTAGCAAAGTATGGTAACTTTAGAAGCTACTAGCAAAGTATGGTAACTTTAGAAGCTACTAGCAAAGTATGGTAACTTTAGAAGCTACTAGCAAAGTATGGTAACTTTAGAAGCTACTAGCAAAGTATGGTAACTTTAGAAGCTACTAGCAAAGTATGGTAACTTTAGAAGCTACTAGCAAAGTATGGTAACTTTAGAAGCTACTAGCAAAGTATGGTAACTTTAGAAGCTACTAGCAAAGTATGGTAACTTTAGAAGCTACTAGCAAAGTATGGTAACTTTAGAAGCTACTAGCAAAGTATGGTAACTTTAGAAGCTACTAGCAAAGTATGGTAACTTTAGAAGCTACTAGCAAAGTATGGTAACTTTAGAAGCTACTAGCAAAGTATGGTAACTTTAGAAGCTACTAGCAAAGTATGGTAACTTTAGAAGCTACTAGCAAAGTATGGTAACTTTAGAAGCTACTAGCAAAGTATGGTAACTTTAGAAGCTACTAGCAAAGTATGGTAACTTCAGCAGCTACTAGCAAAGTATGGTAACTTTAGAAGCTACAAGCAAAGTATGGTAACTTTAGAAGCTACTAGCAAAGTATGGTAACTTTAGCAGCTACTAGCAAAGTATGGTAACTTTAGCAGCTACTAGCAAAGTATGGTAACTTTAGAAGCTACTAGCAAAGTATGGTAACTTTAGAAGCTACTAGCAAAGTATGGTAACTTTAGCAGCTACTAACAAAGTATGGTAACTTTAGCAGCTACTAGCAAAGTATGGTAACTTTAGAAGCTACTAGCAAAGTATGGTAACTTTAGAAGCTACTAGCAAAGTATGGTAACTTTAGAAGCTACTAGCAAAGTATGGTAACTTTAGCAGCTACTAGCAAAGTATGGTAACTTTAGAAGCTACTAGCAAAGTATGGTAACTTTAGAAGCTACTAGCAAAGTATGGTAACTTCAGCAGCTACTAGCAAAGTATGGTAACTTTAGAAGCTACAAGCAAAGTATGGTAACTTTAGAAGCTACTAGCAAAGTATGGTAACTTTAGCAGCTACTAGCAAAGTATGGTAACTTTAGCAGCTACTAGCAAAGTATGGTAACTTTAGAAGCTACTAGCAAAGTATGGTAACTTTAGAAGCTACTAGCAAAGTATGGTAACCTATAGGTCAGACCTCAGCCTTCCACTCTTCTTGTGAAAACGCAAACTATCATCTGAAATTCTATTTCTAAAATTTTTTTTCATAAAATTTTTAAAATCCCCAGGCATTGAAGTCTGCAGAAAAAAAAGCCAAAGAAACCCTGAAGGACGTGGCGGTGGCTGCCACCATCTGCAAGACTAGGAAGACCTTTTGGTTGGTTGGTTTAACTTTTCAATTGGTTTAACTCTTCAATTGGTTTAACTCTTCAATTGGTTTAACTCTTCAATTGCTTTAACTCTTCAATTGGTTTAACTCTTCAATTGCTTTAACTCTTCAATTGGTTTAACTCTTCAATTGGTTTAACTCTTCAATTGGTTTAACTCTTCAATTGGTTTAACTCTTCAATTGGTTTAACTCTTCAATTGCTTTAACTCTTCAATTGGTTTAACTCTTCAATTGCTTTAACTCTTCAATTGCTTTAACTCTTCAATTGGTTTAACTCTTCAGTTGGTTTAACTCTTCAATTGGTTGCCTGGTTTAACTTTTAAGTTACACATGTTCAACTCAGTACATTCAAGTTTTTAAACTGTATAATGAACCCTGTATGATGAACCCTGTATGATGAACCCTGTATGATGAACCCTGTATGTTGAACCCTGTATGTTGAACACTGTATGATGAACCCTGTATGTTGAACCCTGTATGATGAACCCTGTATGATGAACCCTGTATGTTGAACCCTGTATGATGAACCCTGTATGTTGAACCCTGTATGATGAACCCTGTATGATGAACCCTGTATGATGAACCCTGTATGTTGAACCCTGTATGATGAACCCTGTATGATGAACCCTGTATGATGAACCCTGTATGTTGAACCCTGTATAATGAACCCTGTATGTTCCACAGGTTTGAAAAGTTTCTCTGGTTCGTCAGCTCAGAGAACTACCTGGTGATTGGAGGGAGGGACCAGCAGCAGAACGAACTGATAGTCAAACGCTACATGAAGCCTAGTGGGTTGCTGCATGACAGACAACATGACAGACAACATGACAGACAACATGACAGACAACATGACAGACAACATGACAGACAACATGACAGACAACATGACAGACAACATGACAGACAACATGACAGATAACATGACAGATAACATGACAGATAACATGACAGACCAGCAGCAGAACGAACTGATAGTCAAACGCTAGTGGGTTGCTGCATGACAGACTTCTCTCACAGACAACATGACAGACTTCTCTCACAGACAACATGACAGACTTCTCTCACAGACAACATGACAGACAACATGACAGACAACATGACAGACAACATGACAGACTTCTCTCACAGACAACATGACAGACTTCTCTCACAGACAACATGACAGACAACATGACAGACAACATGACAGACTTCTCTCACAGACAACATGACAGACTTCTCTCACAGACAACATGACAGACAACATGACAGACAACATGACAGACTTCTCTCACAGACAACATGACAGACAACATGACAGACTTCTCTCACAGACAACATGACAGACTTCTCTCACAGACAACATGACAGACTTCTCTCACAGACAACATGACAGACAACATTTTAGCACACTTCATATTTTAGCACACTTCATATTTTAGCACATACATCTTTAGTCACTATCTGGGCCATTGACTGTGTCACTAATTCCTGTCAGTGTCCTACAAATGTCCTACAACCCCTGTCAGTGTCCTACAAATGTCCTACAACCCCTGTCAGTGTCCTACAAATGTCCTACAACCCCTGTCAGTGTCCTACAAATGTCCTACAACCCCTGTCAGTGTCCTACAAATGTCCTACAACCCCTGTCAGTGTCCTACAAATGTCCTACAACCCCTGTCAGTGTCCTACAAATGTCCTACAACCCCTGTCAGTGTCCTACAAATGTCCTACAACCCCTGTCAGTGTCCTACAAATGTCCTACAACCCCTGTCAGTGTCCTACAAATGTCCTACAACCCCTGTCAGTGTCCTACAAATGTCCTACAACCCCTGTCAGTGTCCTACAAATGTCCTACAACCCCTGTCTGTGTCCTACAAATGTCCTACAACCCCTGTCAGTGTCCTACAAATGTCCTACAACCCCTGTCAGTGTCCTACAACTGTCCTACAACCCCTGTCAGTGTCCTACAAATGTCCTACAACCCCTGTCAGTGTCCTACAACTGTCCTACAACCCCTGTCAGTGACCTACAAATGTCCTACAACCCCTGTCAGTGTCCTACAAATGTCCTACAACCCCTGTCAGTGTCCTACAAATGTCCTACAACCCCTGTCAGTGTCCTACAACTGTCCTACAACCCCTGTCAGTGTCCTACAAATGTCCTACAACCCCTGTCAGTGTCCTACAACTGTCCTACAACCCCTGTCAGTGTCCTACAAATGTCCTACAACCCCTGTCAGTGTCCTACAAATGTCCTACAACCCCTGTCTGTGTCCTACAAATGTCCTACAACCCCTGTCAGTGTCCTACAAATGTCCTACAACCCCTGTCTGTGTCCTACCTTGCAGGTGACGTCTATGTGCATGCTGATCTCCATGGAGCAAGTAGTTGTGTCATTGTCAACCCCACAGGTTAGTGTTGTCAACCCCACAGGTTAGTGTTGTCAACCCCACAGGTTAGTGTTGTCAACCCCACAGGTTAGTGTTGTCAACCCCACAGGTTAGTGTTGTCAACCCCACAGGTTAGTGTTGTCAACCCCACAGGTTAGTGTTGTCAACTTTGTTAAGGGCATGGGCGGGTCATGAAAACCAAGTTAGCCAAAATGCTTATTTCTAAGCATAATGCAATAATAGTTAGCATTTAGTTTATTACTCCAAGAATTAAGTCATAAAGTAAAATAAACAGGGAGTGATCTCCCCTAAATTTTCTCAAATATTCTTATATGAAACTACAGGGTTGAGAACTAGGGCTAAAGACATGACTTTTAATCCATTTTAAATACTTAAACTTTTATAAATAGAATAATATCTCCTAGAAAAAAGAATTGCACACCAAGTGAATGCCAAATAAAAAAGTGCATAATAGTGCAGAATATTATTAGTACTTTATAAATTCACATGCGTTTTTTGAGAAATCGGAAATAGCGAAAATTACTTTTTCCGGTCAATGGAAATTAGTCAAAATTTAACAAAATGTAGAAAATTAGAACTTATACTTACATGTGAAATTTCATTTATCTATCTGAAATAGTACTCAAGTTAAAGGTTTTTGAAAAATTGAAAGTAGAAAAAGTTCCGGTTATCGGAAATTGCTCAAAAGTTGATCAGGATCTACGATTTTGATAAAATACTTATACATGAAATTTCATCAACCTAGCTGTAACGGTACTCAAGTTATCGTGTACAGACACACATACAAGTACACACACACACACACACAGACATACAGGCAAGATTGCAAAACTATGTTTTTCCGACTTAGGGAGCTGTAAAACATCGAGATTTGCAAAAATCTAGATTTTTTTTTTTTTGCACAATTACAAGACTTTCTCTAAACTTCTTAAATACGAGAAAGTAAAAATAGATTTCCTGCTGTTGCCATGATGATTGTGGCCACCTTTGTATTTTTTGTAACAATTTTAAATTGCAATAACTTTTTAAATTTATTATTGAAATTGATCAACTTTTCTCTAGTGATTCTGTATTCATGAATCAACAAAACTGGTGGGTTCATCAATAACACTGAGTTAGTTGTATCAACTTTGTTAACACTGGGTTAGTTGTGTCAGCTTTGTTAACACTGGGTTAGTTGTATCAACTTTGTTAACACTGGGTTAGTTGGATCAAGTTTGTTAACACTGGGTTAGTTGTGTCAACTTTGTTAACACTGGGTCATTTATGTCAATTTTGTTAACACTGGGTTAGTTGTATCAACTTTGTTAACACTAGGTTAGTTGTGTCAACTTTGTTAACACTGGGTTAGTTGTGTCAACTTTGTTAACACTGGGTTAGTAGGATCAACTTTGTTAACACTGGGTTAGTTGTGTCAACTTTGTTAACACTGGGTTAGTTGGATCAACTTTGTTAACACTGGGTTAGTTGGATCAACTTTGTTAACACTGGGTTAGTTGGATCAACTTTGTTAACACTGGGTTAGTTGGATCAACTTTGTTAACACTGGGTTAGTTGTGTCAACTTTGTTAACACTGGGTTAGTTGTGTCAACTTTGTTAACACTGGGTTAGTTGTGTCAACTTTGTTAACACTGGGTTAGTTGTGTCAACTTTGTTAACACTTGAGGTGTCAGAGGGTCTTGGATGAGATTGTCATCATGTTACTTGAGATTGTTATCTTAGCATCTTTTGACCTGTGGTCTCATGTTACTTGAGATTGTTATCTTAGCATCTTTTGACCTGTGGTCTCATGTTACTTGAGATTGTTATCTTAGCATCTTTTGACCTGTGGTCTCATGTTACTTGAGATTGTTATCTTAGCATCTTTTGACCTGTGGTCTCATGTTACTTGAGATTGTTATCTTAGCATCTTTTGACCTGTGGTCTCATGTTACTTGAGATTGTTATCTTAGCATCTTTTGACCTGTGGTCTCATGTTACTTGAGATTGTTATCTTAGCATCTTTTGACCTGTGGTCTCCTGTTACTTGAGATTGTTATCTTAGCATCTTTTGACCTGTGGTCTCATGTTACTTGAGATTGTTATCTTAGCATCTTTTGACCTGTGGTCTCATGTTACTTGAGATTGTTATCTTAGCATCTTTTGACCTGTGGTCTCATGTTACTTGAGATTGTTATCTTAGCATCTTTTGACCTGTGGTCTCATGTTACTTGAGATTGTTATCTTAGCATCTTTTGACCTGTGGTCTCATGTTACTTGAGATTGTTATCTTAGCATCTTTTGACCTGTGGTCTCATGTTACTTGAGATTGTTATCTTAGCATCTTTTGACCTGTGGTCTCATGTTACTTGAGATTGTTATCTTAGCACCTTTTGACCTGTGGTCTCATGTTACTTGAGATTGTTATCTTAGCATCTTTTGACCTGTGGTCTCATGTTACTTGAGATTGTTATCTTAGCACCTTTTGACCTGTGGTCTCATGTTACTTGAGATTGTTATCTTAGCATCTTTTGACCTGTGGTCTCATGTTACTTGAGATTGTTATCTTAGCATCTTTTGACCTGTGGTCTCATGTTACTTGAGATTGTTATCTTAGCATCTTTTGACCTGTGGTCTCATGTTACTTGAGATTGTTATCTTAGCATCTTTTGACCTGTGGTCTCATGTTACTTGAGATTGTTATCTTAGCACCTTTTGACCTGTGGTCTCATGTTACTTGAGATTGTTATCTTAGCATCTTTTGACCTGTGGTCTCATGTTACTTGAGATTGTTATCTTAGCACCTTTTGACCTGTGGTCTCATGTTACTTGAGATTGTTATCTTAGCATCTTTTGACCTGTGGTCTCATGTTACTTGAGATTGTTATCTTAGCATCTTTTGACCTGTGGTCTCATGTTACTTGAGATTGTTATCTTAGCATCTTTTGACCTGTGGTCTCATGTTACTTGAGATTGTTATCTTAGCATCTTTTGACCTGTGGTCTCATGTTACTTGAGATTGTTATCTTAGCACCTTTTGACCTGTGGTCTCATGTTACTTGAGATTGTTATCTTAGCATCTTTTGACCTGTGGTCTCATGTTACTTGAGATTGTTATCTTAGCATCTTTTGACCTGTGGTCTCCTGTTACTTGAGATTGTTATCTTAGCATCTTTTGACCTGTGGTCTCATGTTACTTGAGATTGTTATCTTAGCATCTTTTGACCTGTGGTCTCATGTTACTTGAGATTGTTATCTTAGCATCTTTTGACCTGTGGTCTCATGTTACTTGAGATTGTTATCTTAGCATCTTTTGACCTGTGGTCTCATGTTACTTGAGATTGTTATCTTAGCATCTTTTGACCTGTGGTCTCATGTTACTTGAGATTGTTATCTTAGCATCTTTTGACCTGTGGTCTCATGTTACTTGAGATTGTTATCTTAGCATCTTTTGACCTGTGGTCTCATGTTACTTGAGATTGTTATCTTAGCATCTTTTGACCTGTGGTCTCATGTTACTTGAGATTGTTATCTTAGCATCTTTTGACCTGTGGTCTCATGTTACTTGAGATTGTTATCTTAGCATCTTTTGACCTGTGGTCTCATGTTACTTGAGATTGTTATCTTAGCATCTTTTGACCTGTGGTCTCATGTTACTTGAGATTGTTATCTTAGCATCTTTTGACCTGTGGTCTCCTGTTACTTGAGATTGTTATCTTAGCATCTTTTGACCTGTGGTCTCATGTTACTTGAGATTGTTATCTTAGCATCTTTTGACCTGTGGTCTCATGTTACTTGAGATTGTTATCTTAGCATCTTTTGACCTGTGGTCTCATGTTACTTGAGATTGTTATCTTAGCATCTTTTGACCTGTGGTCTCATGTTACTTGAGATTGTTATCTTAGCATCTTTTGACCTGTGGTCTCATGTTACTTGAGATTGTTATCTTAGCATCTTTTGACCTGTGGTCTCATGTTACTTGAGATTGTTATCTTAGCATCTTTTGACCTGTGGTCTCATGTTACTTGAGATTGTTATCTTAGCACCTTTTGACCTGTGGTCTCATGTTACTTGAGATTGTTATCTTAGCATCTTTTGACCTGTGGTCTCATGTTACTTGAGATTGTTATCTTAGCACCTTTTGACCTGTGGTCTCATGTTACTTGAGATTGTTATCTTAGCACCTTTTGACCTGTGGTCTCATGTTACTTGAGATTGTTATCTTAGCATCTTTTGACCTGTGGTCTCATGTTACTTGAGGTTGTTATCTTAGCATCTTTTGACCTGTGGTCTCATGTTACTTGTGATTGTTATCTTAGCATCTTTTGACCTGTGGTCTCATGTTACTTGAGATTGTTATCTTAGCATCTTTTGACCTGTGGTCTCATGTTACTTGAGATTGTTATCTTAGCATCTTTTGACCTGTGTGATCCTAGCATCTCCAGTTCCCCCCAAGACGTTGAATGAAGCTGGCACAATGGCCATCTGTAACAGCGCTGCCTGGGACTCTAAGGTCATCACCTCAGCCTGGTGGGTACATCCATACCAGGTCTCCAAGACAGCCCCCAGTGGAGAGTATCTGTCTACTGGCAGTTTCATGATCAGAGGTAATCACATGTCATCTTGTCATGTGTCATCTTGTCATGTGTCATCTTGTCATGTGTCATTTTGTCACTGTAATCTTGTCACATGTCATCTTGTCATGTGTCATCTTGTCATGTGTCAACTTGTCACGTGTCATCTTGTCATGTGTCATCTTGTCACATGTCAACTTGTCACATGTCATCTTGTCACGTGTCATCTTGTCATGTGTCATCTTGTCACATGTCATCTTGTCACATGTCATCTTGTCACATGTCATCTTGTCATGTGTCAACTTGTCACATGTCATCTTGTCACATGTCATCTTGTCACATGTCATCTTGTCATGTGTCAACTTGTCACATGTCATCTTGTCACATGTCATCTTGTCACATGTCATCTTGTCGCATGTCATCTTGTCACATGTGGGGGTCTAGAGCTAATCTTGTCTGTTTATGTTTTATTTCTGAGTATTTCATGTGTTTTATGGTTGCAGGAAAGAAAAATTATCTGCCCCCATCATATCTCATTTATGGATTTGGATTTCTATTCAAGGTACCAAAACTTAGTTAGTTATAAAGTGGGGAATTTAGAGAGGTAAAGTGGAGAGTGTGGTGAGATAATGTGGTGAGATAAAGTGGAGAGTATGGTGAGATAATGTGGAGAGTGTGGTGAGATAATGTGGTGAGATAAAGTGGAGAGTGTGGTGAGATAAAGTGGAGAGTGTGGTGAGATAAAGTGGAGAGTGTGGTGAGATAAAGTGGAGAGTGTGGTGAGATAAAGTGGGGAATGTGGTGAGATAAAGTGGGGAATGTGGTGAGATAAAGTGGGGAATGTGGTGAGATAAAGTGGGGAATGTGGTGAGATAAAGTGGGGAATGTGGTGAGATAAAGTGGAGAGTGTGGTGAGATAAAGTGGGGAATGTGGTGAGATAAAGTGGGGAATGTGGATAGATAAGTAGAGGAACATAGAGATATCAAGTGGGGAATGTAGAGATAGCTGCTGAGATATAGTAAAAGATTGTATGCTTGAAATCTTTTAGCTTGAAGATGGAAGTATAGCACGCCATCAAGGGGAGAGAAAAGCACGGCTAGACATCTTGGAGAGTGGTCAGGAGGAGAGTGGTCAGCAGGAGAGTGGTCAGCAGGAGAGTGGTCAGGAGGAGAGTGGTCAGCAGGAGAGTGGTCAGCAGGAGAGTGGTCAGGAGGAGAGTGGTCAGCAGGAGAGTGGTCAGCAGGAGGATGAGGTGAAGAGTGAGTTCTACCCTGACACAAACATCCAACTCTACCATCTTGATAAAACTGGGTAAGGAATACAGCTCGCACTTTTCTAGTTGTTTACTTCAAATTCATTCATTCAATTTTTAGATAAAATATCCTAATTAATGTTTTTTACATAAATCTACCAATTTAATTTTTAGATAAAATAACAATTAATTTCTTTAGATAAAGTACCTAAGAAATTTCTTTAGATAAAACCATCAAATTAATCTTTTGGTGAAACAATGTAATAATTGTTTAGATAGAATTACATAATTATTTTTTTTATAAATCTACCTAATTAATTTTTTAAATAAATCTACCTGTTAATTATTTAGAATAATCTACCTAATTAATTTTTTAGATTAATCTACCTAATTAATTTTTTTGATAAATCTACCTAATAAATTTTTGTGATAAATCTACCTAATTAATTTTTGGATAAATCTACCTAATTAATTTTTTTTTATAAATCTACCTAATTAATTTTTGGATAAATCTACCTATTTAATTTTTTAGATATAAATCTACCTAATTCTATTTTTTAGATAAATCTACCTAATTCATTTTTTTAGAAAAATATACCCAATTAATTTTTTAGAAAAATCTACCTAATTCATTTTTTAGAAAAATCTACCTAATTAATTTTTCAGAAAAATCTAACTAATTAATTTTTTAGAAAAATCTACCTAATTAATTTTTTAGAAAAATCTACCTAATTAATTTTTTAGAAAAATCTACCTGATTAATTTTTTAGAAAAATGTACCTAATTAATTTTTTAGAAAAATCTACCTAATTAATTTTTTAGAAAAATCTACCTAATTAATTAATTTATTTTTTTGCTTGTAGGTCAGAGAAAACTGAGGAGGTTTATTTTCTCGGAGACAATGTTCCAGTTGTACTGGGAGAAAAGGTGAGATGGCACAAACATTTTATATTCACTTTTATACACCAGACATTCACTTTTATACACCAGACATTCACTTTTATACACCAGACATTCACTTTTATACACCAGACATTCACTTTTATACACCAGACATTCACTTTTATACACCAGACATTCACTTTTATACACCAGACATTCACTTTTATACACCAGACATTCACTTTTATACACCAGACATTCACTTTTATACACCAGACATTTATCTTTTTAGACCTGCTTATATGTATACTAAACGTGTTTTATGTAACATCTGAGGTGCTGGACACAAAACCACGCCCATGTCTGGTCTTTGTTTTCACTCCTTGATCTATACAAATAAATATGCAGTGGCGTAGCCAGGATCCTTGATCTATACAATGTAGGCCAACTAAACATCAATCTAAACAAAAACAAACAAAAAATACACACAATACAACTAAAAACAATGAACGCAACACAATCTGTTTTGTAATCCTTGTGAAAACAATTTGATATAATGATTCCTAGAATATTAAGACTAACGAATTATGGGAAATAATCACTCTCTTAATATAAATATGTATATTTTTTCAAATTTATTGTAAATGTCAAAACAGATCAATAATGACTTTAGTATGTAATATAATGCTTAACACTATTCGATTTGACAAAAATATGTGTACAATCAGAATTAAATATATTGTCATCAGAAATGCTAAAATATTACAGCATAACGAAAGTTGTTCAATCTAATAGGTAGAACATTCTGAACAATAGCCTTCATATAGCTAACATTTGGTCTAGCAGTTCAATTTTTTTTAGCTACTGTTGTTTTTTTTTGTGTTCTTTAAAGATACATTTTTTACATAATAATAAGGTATGGGTTAGATCACTGTATTGCTCACACACCTCTTTACTGGTAATAGCAAAAACAATATTTACAGAGTTTTACCTTTTTCAAAAGCTATGATTCTGGCGGCATGGTACTTTGGTACCTCATTACGCATTTTCCCAAATGAACTTAACAGATCAGTTTGGGGGGGGGGGGGGGGGTTCAGCTTCATACACCACTGTCCGGTCACTTTAGGTCAATTATCCTACCTAGCGTATACCTAGGTATGACATTAATGTCGCCCTACACAATCACAGCCTCTCCTGTGTGTGTGTGTGGGGGGGGGGGGGAGATAACCAACTCAGATTGAACAGCGTCAGTTTTTAGATGACTATTCTAAACATACATATACAATTAACCATTTATACTCATTCAGAAAAAGAATTAAGTTAGTAACAGTGATATGACAGTAAAAAAATTGTTACAGATTGGTCCGGGGGGGGGGGGGGGGGGGGTTTATGATAAAACATTAACACAATCACCCACACACACATGAGAAAACATACACAAACACCAATGAGAAAACCCCAATCCTGCCTCAAACATTAACATAAAATGAACACCAACACACAAACATAAACATCGATAAAGTAAACAGAGAAATCAACTAATATGTTCAGGTCATGTGTGTCTCAGGTCATGTGTCTCAGGTCATGTGTGTCTCAGGTCATGTGTCTCAGGTCATGTGTGTCTCAGGTCATGTGTCTCAAGTCTTGTGTGTCTCAGGTCATGTGTGTCTCAGGTCATTTGTGTCAGGTCATGTGTGTCTCTGATCATGTGTCTCAGGTTGTCTTCAACTAATTGTGAGATATTTGTTTCAGGTCTCCTCGCGTGTCAAGCTGTCTGGCAAACAAAAGATGTGAGTCATACCTTCACACATCCCATACCTCCACACATCCCATCCATTCACACATCCCATACCTTCACACATCCCATACATTCACACATCCCATACATTCACACATCCCATCTTAGTCTAGTCATACATTCACACACAAAAATATCTATGTGATCTATATATTTTTCAGACTTCCAAAGAAAGGAGAGTCAGTACAGAGTGCTGAGGTAGGTCTGTTACATGCGATGTAACCGCTACTTTAGTCATCTGATGTAACCGTTACACTAGTCATCTGATGTAACCGTTACAATAGTCATATGATGTAACCATTACACCATCTGTCTGATGTAACCATTACACCATCTGTCTGATGTAACCATTACACCATCTGTCTGATGTAACCGTTACACCATTTGTCTGATGTAACCGTTACACCATCTCTCTGATGTAACCATTACACCATTTGTCTGATGTAACCATTACACCATCTGTCTGATGTAACCATTACACCATCTGTCTGATGTAACCATTACACCATCTGTCTAATGTTTTGTTGACAGAAAAATTGTGAGAGGAAAACCCAGCAACCCAAGAGGGGTCAGAGGTCAAAGCTTAAAAAAATGAAGGAGAGATACGGAGATCAGGACGATGAGGAGCGCAGGCTGAAGATGGCAATTTTAGCTGTAAGCACTTTGTAGCATTAGCATGAGGAGCGCAGGCTGAAGATGGCAATTTTAGCTGTAAGCACTTTGTAGCATTAGCATGAGGAGCGCAGGCTGAAGATGGCAATTTTAGCTGTAAGCACTTTGTAGCATTAGCATGCGAGCGCAGGCTGAAGATGGCAATTTTAGCTGTAAGCACTTTGTAGCATTAGCATGAGGAGCGCAGGCTGAAGATGGCAATTTTAGCTGTAAGCACTTTGTAGCATTAGCATGAGGAGCGCAGGCTGAAGATGGCAATTTTAGCTGTAAGCACTTTGTAGCATTAGCATGCGTACATACAACTTTGTAGCATTAGCATGCGTACATACAACTTTGTAGCATTAGCATGTGTACATACAACTTTGTAGCATTAGCATGTGTACATACAACTTTGTAGCATTAGCATGTGTACATACAACTTTGTAGCATTAGCATGCGTACATACAACTTTGTAGCATTAGCATGCGTACATACAACTTTGTAGCATTAGCATGTGTACATACAACTTTGTAGCATTAGCATACAAACACATACAACTTTGTAGCATTAGCATGCGTACATACAACTTTGTAGCATTAGCATACAAACACATACAACTTTGTAGCATTAGCATGCGTACATACAACTTTGTAGCATTAGCATGCGTACATACAACTTTGTAGCATTAGCATGAGGAGCGCAGGCTGAAGATGGCAATTTTAGCTGTAAGCACTTTGTAGCATTAGCATGTGTACATACAACTTTGTAGCATTAGCATGCGTACATACAACTTTGTAGCATTAGCATGTGTACATACAACTTTGTAGCATTAGCATGCGTACATACAACTTTGTAGCATTAGCATACAAACACATAAGACTTTGTAGCATTAGCATGCGTACATACAACTTTGTAGCATTAGCATGCGTACATACAACTTTGTAGCATTAGCATGCGTACATACAACTTTGTAGCATTAGCATGCGTACATACAACTTTGTAGCATTAGCATGTGTACATACAACTTTGTAGCATTAGCATGTGTACATACAACTTTGTAGCATTAGCATGTGTACATACAACTTTGTAGCATTAGCATGTGTACATACAACTTTGTAGCATTAGCATGTGTACATACAACTTTGTAGCATTAGCATGTGTACATACAACTTTGTAGCATTAGCATGCGTACATACAACTTTGTAGCATTAGCATGTGTACATACAACTTTGTAGCATTAGCATGCGTACATACAACTTTGTAGCATTAGCATGCGTACATACAACTTTGTAGCATTAGCATGCGTACATACAACTTTGTAGCATTAGCATGTGTACATACAACTTTGTAGCATTAGCATGTGTACATACAACTTTGTAGCATTAGCATGTGTACATACAACTTTGTAGCATTAGCATGTGTACATACAACTTTGTAGCATTAGCATGCGTACATACAACTTTGTAGCATTAGCATGCGTACATACAACTTTGTAGCATTAGCATGCGTACATACAACTTTGTAGCATTAGCATACGTACAGACAACTTTGTAGCATTAGCATGTGTACATACAACTTTGTAGCATTAGCATGTGTACATACAACTTTGTAGCATTAGCATGCGTACATACAACTTTGTAGCATTAGCATGCGTACATACAACTTTGTAGCATTAGCATGTGTACATACAACCTGTATGAGCACATAGTCTTGTTACCTTCAACCCAACCCACATGTAGTCTGCAGGTAAAGAAGATGTTAAACAACATCAAACTGTCCAGTCAACCAAAGATGTCAAGCTTGGTCAAAAGGTCAAGCCTGGAAATCTGTCTAAAAGTAAGAACACTTCCTCGTTTCCCTCACCCCCACCCCTCAGTGAGAAGTACAGAGACTCATTGACAGAAAAATCTTTTTTTATTCACCAGCAATCAATGTGCCAGATGTCACAAGTGCTGATGTGCCAGATGTCACAAGTGCTGATGTGCTAGATGTCACAAGTGCTGATGTGCTAAATGTCACAAGTGCTGATGTGCCAGATGTCACAAGTGCTGATGTGCCAGATGTCACAAGTGCTGATGTGCCAGATGTCACAAGTGCTGATGTGCCAGATGTCACAAGTGCTGATGTGCCAGATGTCACAAGTGCTGATGTGCCAGATGTCACAAGTGCTGATGTGCCAGATGTCACAAGTGCTGATGTGCTAGATGTCACAAGTGCTGATGTGCTAGATGTCACAAGTGCTGATGTGCTAGATGTCACAAGTGCTGATGTGCCAGATGTCACAAGTGCTGATGTGCTAGATGTCACAAGTGCTGATGTGCTAGATGTGACAGATGATGATGATGATGATGTTGAGGTTAGTATATATGTAGAAAGATAAGATTTTGACAAAAATATGGGGGAACACATTTTTATTGTTAGACTAGCATGCCTGTCTCTCTGCCTGTCTCTGTGCCTTTGCTAGATTTGGACAATGGGAAGTAGGTTCAATTAATATTGCTAGATTTGGACAATGGGAAGTGGGTTCAATTAATATTGCTAGATTTGGACAATGGGAAGTGGGTTCAATTAATATCGCTAGATTTGGACAATGGGAAGTGGGTTCAATTAATATTGCTAGATTTGGACAATGGGAAGTGGGTTCAATTAATATTGCTAGATTTGGACAATGGGAAGTAGGTTCAATTAATATTGCTAGATTTGGACAATGGGAAGTGGGTTCAATTAATATCGCTAGATTTGGACAATGGGAAGTGGGTTCAATTAATATTGCTAGATTTGGACAATGGGAAGTGGGTTCAATTAATATTGCTAGATTTGGACAATGGGAAGTAGGTTCAATTAATATTGCTAGATTTGGACAATGGGAAGTAGGTTCAATTAATATTGCTAGATTTGGACAATGGGAAGTGGGTTCAATTAATATTGCTAGATTTGGACAATGGGAAGTAGGTTCAATTAATATCGCTAGATTTGGACAATGGGAAGTGGGTTCAATTAATATTGCTAGATTTGGACAATGGGAAGTGGGTTCAATTAATATTGCTAGATTTGCTGTGCCACAAACTAAGATAGATAAAAATGTTTAATAAAAAACAAATTGATAAAAAAACATTGATTGCTGATACCTGCTAAAGATATTTTCCATTTTTTTAATTACAGGAAGCTGAACTGAACAAAAGACAGGTAGGCCCAGTAGAGCATATGTAGGACTTAGGACACAGTAGGACTTAGGACACAGTAGGACTTAGGACACAGTAGGACTTAGGACACAGTAGGACTTAGGACACAGTAGGACTTAGGACACAGTAGGACTTAGGACACAGTAGGACTTAGGACACAGTAGGACTTAGGACACAGTAGGACTTAGGACACACTAGGATTTAGGACACAGTAGGACTTAGGACACAGTAGGATTTAGGACACAGTAGGACTTAGGACACAGTAGGACTTAGGACACAGTAGGACTTAGGACACAGTAGGACTTAGGACACAGTAGGACTTAGGACACAGTAGGACTTAGGACACAGTAGGACTTAGGACACACTAGGATTTAGGACACAGTAGGACTTAGGACACAGTACACCAAAGGACACAGTAGAGCATAAGACACAGTAGAGCATAGGCAGAGATGTAGCTATACCGCTTTTTCCATTTGAGAAAAAGTTTCTGCCGAAAAAAATCTATATTTTCCGCTGATCGATTTTTTTTTAAAATTGGAAATCTTTTCATCCGATTCATTTTTCAGTTTTGCTATCCATATCCAAATGGTCACACCTTCCCATCCTGCTCTATGATAGATTCTCTGGTTTTACACAAGAATGCCTTTCACTCAGTTACTAGACTAGCATATGTCATTTGGGGATGTTTAATAGTCTACAGCAGGAATCTCCAAACTACGGTCCGCTCACATCCGGCCCGCTGAGATCTTTTTGGATGTAGCGAGATTTCTGGTTGTTTTGTCTTGTGTCTGAAGTCTTGTGTCTGAAGTCTTGTGTCTGAAGTCTTGTGTCTGAAGTCTTGTGTCTGAAGTCTTGTGTCTGAAGTCTTGTGTCTGAAGTCTTGTGTCTGAAGTCTTGTGTCTGAAGTCTGGTCTTGTGTCTGAAGTCTTGTGTCTGAAGTCTTGTACCTGAAGTCTTGTGTCTGAAGTCTTGTACCTGAAGTCTTGTACCTGAAGTCTGAAGTCTTGTGTCTGAAGTCTTGTGTCTGAAGTCTTGTACCTGAAGTCTTGTGTCTGAAGTCTTGTGTCTGAAGTCTTGTACCTGAAGTCTTGTGTCTGAAGTCTTGTACCTGAAGTCTTGTACCTGAAGTCTGAAGTCTTGTGTCTGAAGTCTTGTGTCTGAAGTCTTGTGTCTGAAGTCTTGTGTCTGAAGTCTTGTGTCTGAAGTCTTGTGTCTGAAGTCTTGTGTCTGAAGTCTTGTGTCTGAAGTCTTGTGTCTGAAGTCTTGTGTCTGAAGTCTTGTGTCTGAAGTCTTGTGTCTGAAGTCTTGTGTCTGAAGTCTTGTCTGTGTCTGAAGTCTTGTGTCTGAAGTCTTGTGTCTGAAGTCTTGTACCTGAAGTCTTGTGTCTGAAGTCTTGTGTCTGAAGTCTTGTGTCTGAAGTCTTGTACCTGAAGTCTTGTGTCTCAAGTCTTGTGTCTCAAGTCTTGTGTCTCAAGTCTTGTGTCTCAAGTCTTGTGTCTCTAGTCTTGTGTCTCAAGTCTTCTATCTGAAGTCTTGTACCTGAAGTCTTGTATTGCAGGACTCTGCCCTTCTGGATGCCCTGACTGGCGTGCCTGTTGAGGAGGATGAGCTGCTCTTTGCTGTGCCAGTATGGGCTCCCTACAACGCCATCACAAATTACAAGTGGGTCACACTGACCTGACTACCCAATCACCTGACCACCCAATCACCTCACCTGACCACCAAATGACCTGACCTAACCACCCAATCAACTCACCACCCAATCACCTGACCACCCAATCACCTCACCTGACCACCAAATGACCTGACCTAACCACCCAATCAACTCACCACCCAATCAACTCACCACCCAATCACCTCACCTGACCAACCAATGTACTGACCACCATATCACCTGAACTAACCACCCAATCACCTGACCACCCAATCACCTGACCTGACCACCCAATCACCTGACCTGACCACCCAATCACCTGAACTAACCACCCAATCACCTGACCACCCAATCACCTGACCACCCAATCACCTGATCTGACCACCCAATCACCTGATCTGACCACCCAATCACCTGACCTTACCACCCAATCACCTGAACTAACCACCCAATCACCTGACCACCCAATCACCTGACCACCCAATCACCTGATCTGACCACCCAATCACCTGATCTGACCACCCAATCACCTGATCTGACCACCCAATCACCTGACCTGACCACCCAATCACCTGACCTGACCACCCAATCACCTGACCTAACCACCCAATCACCTGACCACCCAATCATCTGACCACCCAATCACCTGACCACCCAATCACCTGACAAGACCACCCAATCACCTGACCTGACCATCCAATCACCCAGTCACCTGACCATCCAATCACCTGATCACCCAATCACCTGACCACCCAATCATCTATCACCCAATCACCTGACCACCCAATCACCTGACCTGACCACCCAATCACCTGACCATCCAATCACCTGACCATCCAATCACCTGACCTGACCACCCAATCACCTGACCACCCAATCACCTGACCACCCAATCACCTGACCTGACCACCCAATCACCTGACCACCCAATCAAGTGACCACATATTTTCCAATCAACAGATTTAAAGTCAAGTTACAGCCTGGGTCCACTAAGAAAGGGAAAGGTAGTTTCAATTTTTTTATCTCAGCTAATACATTATAGCCATCTAGTGCATTATGTCCACTAAGAAAGGGAAAGGTAGTTTCAATTTGTTTTTTTTATCTCAGCTAATACATTATAGCCATCTAGTGCATTATGTTCCACCTGGTGCATTATGTCCCACCTGGTGCATTATGGCACTTGGATGCAGGGGCGGAACTACAGTGCCGCCAGACCCCGCAATGTGGGGGGGGGGGGGGGCACGACCTTTAGGGGCCCAATTCCAACAAAAACAACAATGAATTTTCTTTTCATAAATAATATTTTTCGCGCATCTTGATAGTGGTTTTGTAATAAACAAACAGGTCTACTATAGCAGTGATTGTTCTACAGTAACTAACACACACTGTTGCGTAGAAAAATCTACAAGAGCTATTGTTGAAAGATAGGCAAACTTTCAGACTACTTGCATGATTTACTGCCCTTCATTAAAACACGGGTGCCCATAAAGCTCATTTAAATAGTTTTGTACTATGTAAATTAAAAAGCAATTTATTCTCTTAATTATTATTTAAATAAGGCATACTAAAGAATCCTATAGCTATAAAAATAAATTTATTCAAAACTAATAATATAAATACAAAAAGTCATAAAAATAAACTTAACGTGAGAAACCATTGCGCAAATCAAACTTACGTATTTATATACTTGCATGTTGGTTTTTCTACAGTTTTCTGTTATCAAGAAAATGTAATACAAACATTTGTTAACCCTTAGTGGGTTACACATTAGAAACCTTCGAGCTAGCAATATTACTTTTCCTAAAAAAAACAAAAAAAAAACATTTGTTAAACACGATTATTGCTGGCCCGAAATGAGTTTGGACTTATATTTGTCTGGTTCGTTATCTCAGAGTGGTTATACAGTGCAATGAAATAGATCAAAATACTCAGGTAATTGACTATTTAAAATTTAGAGGAGAATGCTACTTATGTGTGTATATATATATATATATATATATATATATATATATACATATGGGGGGGGGGCCAAAAATTTTTTTTGCGTGTGAGCATGTTTTTCTTAGTTCTGCCACTGCTTGGATGTGACCACAGTGCACTCTTATATTTGATCTAAACATTACCTCAATATGTTCCTCTTATATTTGATCTAAACATTACCTCAATATGTTCCTCTTATATTTGATCTAAACATTACCTCAATATGTTCCTCTTATATTTGATCTAAACATTACCTCAATATGTTCCTCTTATATTTGATCTAAACATTACCTCAATATGTTCCTCTTATATTTGATCTAAACATTACCTCAATATGTTCCTCTTATATTTGATCTAAACATTACCTCAATATGTTCCTCTTATATTTGATCTAAACATTACCTCAATATGTTCCTCTTATATTTGATCTAAACATTACCTCAATATGTTCCTCTTATATTTGATCTAAACATTACCTCAATATGTTCCTCTTATATTTGATCTAAACATTACCTCAATATGTTCCTCTTATATTTAATCTAGCTATGAAAACAGCCCTCAATATGTTCCTCTTGGATAAAATGGCTTCCAGTAGAGAGAAAAGTCTCTTGAAAATATTCAAGGTAAATAAATTTTAGAGGTCATGCGGCAGGTGTTAGAGGTCATGTGACAGGTGTTAGAGGTCATGTGGCAGGTGTTAGAGGTCATGTGGCACATGTTAGAGGTCGTGTGACAGGTGTTAGAGGTCATGTGGCACATGTTAGAGGTCATGTGACTAATGACCAGTGTTGCTATGTTTCTTGGACATCCTGGAGTTAAAAATTTCACTTGCTAAAGTGAGAATCCGATTGGTAAAACATTTCAAGCTTAAATGCACTCTTCTTTGTCCAATAGACAGTCATTTTTTAGCAGACAACAATTGTGCGGGTTACATCTTTGACTAGTTATCAAACTCAATGCGTGATAGAAAGTCTTGCTTACAAGCCTGTTGTCATAGTTCTACTCAAACATTTCTGTTTTACCAAGACAAAGTGTGTCTATTGTCACTATAATATCAAGTATTGGTAACATAAGCAGTTGTTTGGTACTGTGGTTTATGTGCATTGGGGTGGGTGGGGGTTCCAAAAAACATTATGGGGTAGAGAAGGGTCTAAAAAATGTCTTTAACTAATTACATTATATGCACAATCCTTTAATTATGACTTTTGTTTGAAGATTGTTCTAAAAATACCAAGTCCTCTATTGGATTGTATATTCAACTATAATGGCTTGACAAGAAATGAAATCATTCTTTTTTAAATTCTGTTAGACTAAGTTTTAGGGTTTTAAAATTTGAAAAATGTGGGGATAAAAAAAAATTCAAGGTTTGACGAAAAAAACTGAGTGGCATGGCTGCAGTGGCTTAACGAGGTCGGGTGTCACCCGGTGCGGCACTTAATGGTGTCACCCCCCCCCCCCAGAGGCGTAGCGACCCTTCCCGGGGACAAATTTTCTATTTGCACCCCCCCCCCCTCAAACTTTTGATTTGCACCCCCCCCCCTCAAACTTTCGATTTGCACCCCCCCCCCCCCTCAAGTTTTTCTCTATATATTTTGCTATTTTTTGCCTTGGTGTCACCCCCCTAAATGGTGTCACCCGGTGCGGTCCGCACCCCCGTCCCCCCCCCCCCTCGCTACGCCCCTGCATGGCTGTATTATACTGAATGAGTGGCATCGCTGTATTATACTGAATGAGTGGCATCGCTGTATTATACTGAATGAGTGGCATCGCTGTATTATACTGAATGAGTGGCATCGCTGTATTATACTGAATGAGTGGCATCGCTGTATTATACTGAATGAGTGGCATCGCTGTATTATACTGAATGAGCAAATTTGATGTTTTCCCCAGGATTCTGATCTAAGCCGCAATCTTCCTGGCAAAGTCAAGCTTGCAGCCCCCAACCTCAAGCCCAAACATGGCAGCAATAAATAAATCAATACACCCACCATCTTGTTCTTGTGTCACTTCCACATCATCCATTGGATCACACATCACCTCATTCAGTGGATCACATCATCCAGTGGATCACACATCACCTCATTCAGTGGATCACATCATCCAGTGGATCACACATCACCTCATTCAGTGGATCACATCATCCAGTGGATCACACATCACCTCATTCAGTGGATCACATCATCCAGTGGATCACACATCACCTCATTCAGTGGATCACATCATCCAGTGGATCACACATCACCTCATTCAGTGGATCACATCATCCAGTGGATCACTCACCACACACCACATCATCCAGTGGATCACTCACCACACACCACATCACCCAGTGGATCACACACCACATCATCCAATGGATCCCTCATCACACATCATCCAGTGGATCACTCACCACATCATCCAATGGATCACTCATCACACACCACATCCAGTGGATCACTCATCACACACCACATCATCCAGTGGATCACACACCACATCATCCAATGGATCACTCATCACACACCACATCATCCAATGGATCACTCATCACACACCACATCATCCAATGGATCACTCATCACACACCACATCATCCAATGGATCACTCATCACACACCACATCATCCAATGGATCACTCATCACACACCACATCATCCAATGGATCACTCATCACACACCACATCCAGTGGATCACTCACCACATCATCCAATGGATCACTCATCACACACCACATCCAGTGGATCACTCATCACACACCACATCACCCAGTGGATCACACACCACATCACCCAGTGGATCACACACCACATCATCCAATGGATCACTCATCACACACATCATCCAATGGATCACTCATCACACACCACATCATCCAATGGATCACTCATCACACACCACATCATCCAATGGATCACTCATCACACACCACATCATCCAATGGATCACTCATCACACACCACATCATCCAATGGATCACTCATCACACACCACATCCAGTGGATCACTCACCACATCATCCAATGGATCACTCATCACACACCACATCCAGTGGATCACACATCACACACCACATCATCCAATGGATCACTCATCACACACCACATCACCCAGTGGATCACACACCACATCATCCAGTGGATCACTCATCACACACCACATCATCCAATTGATCACTCATCACACACCACATCATCCAATGGATCACTCATCACACACCACATCATCCAATGGATCACACATCACACACCACATCATCCAATGGATCACTCATCACACACCACATCCAGTGGATCACACATCACATCATCCAGTGGATCACACACCACATCACCCAGTGGATCACACACCACATCATCCAATGGATCACTCATCACACACCACATCATCCAATGGATCACACATCACACACCACATCATCCAATGGATCACTCATCACACACCACATCCAGTGGATCACACATCACATCATCCAGTGGATCACACACCACATCACCCAGTGGATCACACACCACATCATCCAATGGATCACTCATCACACATCATCCATTGGATCACTCATCACACACCACATCACCCAGTGGATCACTCATCACATAATCCAGTGGATCACTCACCACATCAACCAATGGATCACTCATCACACACCACATCATCCAATGGATCACTCATCACACACCACATCACCCAGTGGATCACACACCACATCATCCAATGGATCACTCATCACACACCACATCATCCAATGGATCACTCATCACACACCACATCCAATGGATCACTCATCACACACCACATCCAGTGGATCACTCATCACACACCACATCACCCAGTGGATCACTCATCACATAATCCAGTGGATCACTCACCACATCATCCAATGGATCACTCATCACACACCACATCACCCAGTGGATCACACACCACATCATCCAATGGATCACTCATCACACACCACATCACCCAGTGGATCACTCATCACATCACCCAGTGGATCACTCACCACATCAACCAATGGATCACTCATCACACACCACATCACCCAGTGGATCACACACCACATCAACCAATGGATCACTCATCACACGCCACCTCTGGTGTTTAGGTGATGCCCTCTTCTGTAGCACATCTGTCTGACCCGTGTTACCTTCTAGACCCCTTCTCTAGACAGGTCTCAAACTGTGCGTAGACAGATCTATGTCAAGCTGTGCATTTACATTGTTTTATATACATTCCTTTTTACAAGCTTTTATTTAACTTGCTTTCGGGGGGGGGGGGGATTAGACACTGTTAAAAGTATGTTCTTTCTATATAAATTTGATGAGATGCCTGGTAGAAACTGGTTGGTACGTGGGTCAAGACATGAAATGTGTCTTAATTGGATGCCTAATTAATTTTATTTAATTAAAATTTTGTCCAAATTAGTAGTTGTCCCATCAAACTATTCGACACGCGTCATCACAGGCATAAGGTGCGCAATGGTTTTTAGTCATGCTACTGTATTGTCAATTTTTTAAAGAACCTGTAACCCTCACTCAGTGGGGATGCTTTGTACCCACTGAGGTGTTGTGGTTAAAACGGGCTGACCCTGAGATTTAGGATACATAAAAAAACGTTTTAATAACAAGCTTTTATGTAATAATGCACCAAAAAGTAGAAAATAAATTATACACTATTATTTAAATAACTATAGAGAAAAGCGTGGGTCTCTTCCTAAATATTAGTAAAGGTATCCACGCTTTTCTTTGTAATTTAAATAGTAGTCTATAATTTATTTCCTACTTTTTAGTGCATTATTACATAAAAGCTTGTTATTAAAACGTTTACAAGCTTTTATTTAACTCACTGTCTCTGTCTGTCGTCAGTCTGTCTAGATCTAAACGCCCGAACGAAATTACGGGCACTTCTAACAAACAGATATTAGTAAAAGTATCCAATAGATAATATAGTAACCCACGCTTTTCTTTATAGTTATATAAATAGTAGTGTATTATATTACTATATAATAGTATATATTTAAAGAAACGTATTTATTTTCTACTTTTTAGTGCATTAGTACATAACAGCTTGTTATTAAAACGTTTTTTATGAATTTTTTTCCGTACTTTAAATTTTTTAATGCAATAGAGTTGCATGACTAAAAACCATAGCGCACCTAATGACTGACGACACAGTAAGTGAGTTAAATAAAATTAATTAAAATTTTGACCAAATGAGTAGGCAGTCTTACCCAACTATTATACACGCTTCGACACGTTCATTAGGTGCGCAATGTTTTTTAGTCTTGCAACTCTATTGTAATTTTTTTTAAATGTAAAGTACTGAAAAAAAATTCATAAAAAACGTTTTAATAACAAGCTTTTATTTTATGCAATAATTCGCTAAAAATTAGAAAATAAATTATACACTACTATTAAAAAAAACTATAAATAAAATATTAGTAAAGGTATCCAATAATATATCCTTAAAACTAATGTATGCGCCTTAGCGCTCACGGCCTTGTCCGGGGCGCCAAATATCACCCTGCGGGGCACCGGCAAACGCGCCTGGTTTAATTTAGTGTGCAACTATAACACTCCATCTTTTCCACTGTCCATCGCAATATTTAGAACAAACGTAAGCGCCATAACGCTCACAGGAAAGCCCTGGGTGCCAAATCGAAACCTGCAGGGGCGCCGGTGGAATCGCCCATTTCGATATAGTCAACGATTATTGTTGTCCATAATGTCTTTAATGTATAGCATATTTTTAAATACGAAAGTAGACGCCGTTTAAAAACGAACGTAGGCACCATAGTCGTCACAGGGGAGCCCGGGGCGCTTCGGGTCACGCAATATCTGGGGCGCCGGCGGCTACGCCTTTTTAAATTTTAGCGCTGAAAATAGTACTAACCATCATCCGATATACTGATACGAAGTGCTAAGATAGACGCTATGGATCTCTGGGCGGCAAACCGTGTATTGACAGAAATCACATCGTCCGGGGACGCCGTCCATAAGAAATTTTAATAATTGTGTACGCAGAATCTTTCTCAAGAGTATTCTCATCAACTCCCCAAAGTTTCATGGCACTCGGATGAATGGTGTGGAACCATATCCGACTTTTATTTTTATATATCGTATATAGAGAAAAATCGCACCCTCCCGGAGCGCCGCCCTTGCGAAATTAAAAAAGTTTTTTTTGCAGAACCCTTCCCTGGAGTGTTCTAATCAACTCCCTAAAGTTTCGTGGCGATCAGATGAACGGTGTCAAACAGCAACTTACTTTTATTTTTTATTAACCGTTTACTGAGAAGAATTGAATCGCGCACTGTCAGGGCGCCACCCCTGCGAATTTGACTTTTTTTTTTACAGGAACCTCCCCAGGACTATTCTTAACAACTTCCCAAAGTTTCATGGCGATCGGATAAAAGGTGTAATAATGCATAGAAGAAACACACAGACATTGCTTTATATATATATATATATATATATATATATATATATATATATATATATATATATATATATATATATATATATATATATATATATATATATATATATATATATATATACACTAGCGTACCCGTCCCTGCGCGTTGCCGCGGAAATAGAATAAAGTCTGACGAAATATATCAGAAGGATTTTATCAATGCATTACCAATCTTATGTTTTTCCAAGCGTGACCTTGTTTCCTAAAACTGATTTTTTTAAAATTAAATAACATCGGGACACGGGTTTACCTACACTACCGTATGAAAACCTTGAGTGTACGTTAATCAATCGCCGAAATAATGAAGTAGAAAACACTTGGGTGACAGCCCATGTGTCACAGACGTAGAGTGGCGCTCTCAGCCCCCCCCCCCCCCCCCCCCCGATTACACTACTACCGCATAGGCGCCGCGTACGACCCCTGGCTACTTAAACCTATGTAGTCGCCATAGTGCTCACAGGGTAACCCAGAGCGCCAAATAGCATCCTGAAACAATGATGCTGAATGCGTCGCTAGGCTAAAATAACACAAATCAACAGGATTTTTCTTTAACACGTAAAAAAAGTATTTGACGTGTTATTAACATTAGTGACTGATGCAATTTGTTAGCGTTTCTATTGGTGTATTATTAGATGCTCGATCTCGATTTCTGATTGGATCTTCTAAAAATAGATGCTAAATGCATTCTAATCAACTTCCCAAAGTTTGATGACGATCGGATAAACGGTGTGAAACCGCAGTTGACTTTTATTTTTATATACCGCATATAGAGAAATATGGCACCCTCCTGGGGCGCCGACCTTTTAAAGAAGATTTTTTTTTTTATACAGAAACCTGACCTGGAGTGTTCTAATCAACTCCTCAAAGTTTGATGGTGATGGGATTAACGGTGTCAAACCGTAATCGACTTTTATTTTTATACTAGGCATGCTGCCCAGCTTTGCTTAGGCTTTCGAAAACATTGAGAATTTGAATGCTTAATTAATTCGCCCGAGGGTCGGTCTACGACCTCAAGAGTTATGAAGAGGTTCCTCCGTGGACATTTTTTTTTCGATTTATAGCTCATATAAGGTACCGGTCAGTCGAGGTCAGTTTTGACCCCCTCATCGTAGACTTTTCGGCCAACCGGCCCCCGTGCTCTGTCGCCCCAAGGCAAGATCCTGCCAAATTTGAAGCGCCTGCGGCGCCGGGAAGTGCCTTATCGGACACCCGACAATCTAGATCTAGATCTAGAATCCTAATTGAATTTTTTTTTTAAGTTTAGTCCGAGCAAAATAAAAAGAAAATACATTAACCAAGTTGACTTGGTGGGTCTCGAACCCGCACCACCTGCGTGGATTATAGTACACTAACATCTCCGCTATTTAGGCACCTCATAAAATACAGAGAATGAAAGACGTATTTTAAAATCTTAACTTACGCGAATATGCCTATTCTTTCAAATTAATTTTTTTTATCCCAAATTAGCCAGTTCCAAACAAAGATTTTGTATAAATAAATGTTATGAGTTTAGGCCGGAAAAATTGTATTGTATACATTTCATAGTGTACGTAGATCTAAATCAAATTTGAATGAAATAGTTCATTTCTTTTTTATTCTTAACACGGCAGATGACGTCATTAGTAAGCAATAGTGACGTCACAGTTACATGCGTTCTTTTTCACATCCATTAATGCTTTTCCGGTTGCATAAATAATACTGTTTCTCTACATTCGAATACGCCTTTATTTTTTATTTTTCTTCTTTAAATAAAATTGTGGTTATACATTTAAAACATCTAACATATTATTTTCAACAAAAGTCCGTATAAAGTTCTCCATATATCGCTGCCGTTTCTGACGTGATGTCCGGCGAAAATATTTTGCGGACAGACAGAGAGAGAGAGAGAGAGAAGAGCGCACACAGCCTTTTATATATTAGGATACCGTATATAGAGAAAAATAGAACCCTCCAGGGGCGCCTCCCTTGCGAAAATAAAAAAAGATTTTTCGGCAGAACCCTTCGCTGCAGTGTTCTAATCAGCTCCACAAACTTTGATGGCGATCGGATGAACAGTGTGAAACCGCAATCAACTTTTATTTTTATATACCGTATATAGAGAAAAAACAAATCGCGCCCAGTGTTTCTTCCAGACTTTTTTCTCCGAGGGGGGGGGGGGGGGGGAAGGCACTTGATATTTTCAGGGGGGGGGGGAGGGGGCGGTCGACATTTTTCGGGAGTGGACACTAGTAAAAGTATGTTTACTATATAAATTCCATCTCGTTCGGAAGGGGGGGGGGGGGGGGCAGTTAGACTTTCTTCGGGGGGGGGGGGGTAAAGAGATGCCTGGAAAAAACTCTGATCGCGCCCTGCCTGGGCGCCATCCCTGCGAATTCCAGGTGTATTCTCAACAACTTTCCAAAGTTTCATGGCGATCGGATGAAAGGTGTGGTGATGCATAAAAGACCGACAGATACACAGACACACACACATTGCTTTTTATATAAGCATAGATAGATTAGATAGATAGATAGATAGATAGATAGATAGATAGATAGATAGATAGATAGATAGATAGATAGATAGATAGATAGATAGATAGATAGATAGATAGATAGATAGACAGACAGACAGACAGACAGACAGACAGACAGATAGATAGATAGCTGTCGCGTTTTCTCTCCTAGATGGCTTACGTACAGCTTGATATAGATCTATCTAAGCACAACTTGTCATAGATCTACGCACAGCCTGTCATAGATCTACGCACAGCCTGTCATAGATCTACGCACAGCTTGTCATAGATCTACGCACAACTTGACATAGATCTACGCACAACTTGACATAGATCTACGCACAACTTGACATAGATCTACGCACAACTTGACATAGATCTACGCACAACTTGACATAGATCAAGGTGCCCTTGAACTTCGTCCACCCTGGTTACATGGTTCTATCTTTCCTGGGGGCCCACCGAGATTTTTGCAGGTAGACCGGCCCTGACACGTGATCAAAGACTTGGGAGCAAAGGTCAACTCAATCATTGTTGCCATACATGGAATCATATTTTGGACCAAACTAATCCTAAGCTTGTGTCGGGAAGCTGAATCTGTTACCCTACCCACGACATCACCCCCCCCCCCCCACTTGACGCGACATTATTCCTATATGTTATACCATAATTGCATGTCCTTCTATATGTTATACCATAATTGCATGTCCTTCTATATGTTATACAATAATTGCATGCCCTTCTATATGTTATACCATAATTGCATGTCCTTCTTTATGTTATACAATAATTGCATGTCCTTCTATATGTTATACAATAATTGCATGTCCTTCTATATGTTATACCATAATTGCATGTCCTTCTATATGTTATACCATAATTGCATGTCCTTCTATATGTTATACCATAATTGCATGTCCTTCTATATGTTATACCATAATTGCATGTCCTTCTATATGTTATACCATAATTGCATGTCCTTCTATATGTTATACCATAATTGCATGTCCTTCTATATGTTATACCATAATTGCGTGTCCTTCTATATGTTATACCATAATTGCATGTCCTTCTATATGTTATACCATAATTGCATGTCCTTCTATATGTTATACCATAATTGCATGTCCTTCTATATGTTATACCATAATTGCATGTCCTTCTATATGTTATACCATAATTGCATGTCCTTCTATATGTTATACCATAATTGCATGTCCTTCTATATGTTATACCATAATTGCATGTCCTTCTATATGTTATACCATAATTGCATGTCCTTCTATATGTTATACCATAATTGCATGTCCTTCTATATGTTATACCATAATTGCATGTCCTTCTATATGTTATACCATAATTGCGTGTCCTTCTATATGTTATACCATAATTGCATGTCCTTCTATATGTTATACCATAATTGCATGTCCTTCTATATGTTATACCATAATTGCATGTCCTTCTATATGTTATACCATAATTGCATGTCCTTCTATATGTTATACCATAATTGCATGTCCTTCTATATGTTATACCATAATTGCATGTCCTTCTATATGTTATACCATAATTGCATGTCCTTCTATATGTTATACCATAATTGCATGTCCTTCTATATGTTATACCATAATTGCATGTCCTTCTATATGTTATACCATAATTGCATGTCCTTCTATATGTTATACCATAATTGCATGTCCTTCTATATGTTATACCATAATTGCATGTCCTTCTATATGTTATACCATAATTGCATGTCCTTCTATATGTTATACCATAATTGCATGTCCTTCTATATGTTATACCATAATTGCATGTCCTTCTATATGTTATACCATAATTGCATGTCCTTCTATATGTTATACCATAATTGCATGTCCTTCTATATGTTATACCATAATTGCATGTCCTTCTATATGTTATACCATAATTGCATGTCCTTCTATATGTTATACCATAATTGCATGTCCTTCTATATGTTATACCATAATTGCATGTCCTTCTATATGTTATACCATAATTGCATGTCCTTCAATCCGTCATAGGATCTCGATCCCACCTACCCCCTCCCCAACCCCACCTCTCAAGTCCACGTAAGTCATAGGTCAGTGTGGTCAATGGACAAGAACCCCAGCGGTGACTGACCTTTGACCTTTTCACCCCGGCATTGGGCTGGTGCGCGCGCACACAAGTGTGCATACATCGGACACACACACACACACACACATGGACTGACCATTGATTGATTATTTTTATTTTTGCAATAAAAGTTTTTGAAGGGATGAAATAAAAATATGTGGGTCATTGAACATATCTTATAGCCCTAATCATTACTAACCCTAGCCCTAACGATTACTGATACTAGCCCTAACCACTGCTAACCCAGATGGAAGAACACGCTAATATAATAAATATATAAATAGCCTACATTTGATCGCTCTGTTAGAAAGAAATGTGTAAATAAGTGAAGGGACATCCCAAGTTGACGCTCGGTCTCAAAAACTTCAGTCGTCTGCTGACGATTTACCCTGACCAAAGTTTACGCAGATGCGTCAACAAAGTAGACACACTTTAACGGTCGCCGACACACTAACTATAACGAACCAACTTTTCTATAACCTCACCAAGGCACTGTCCGCACTCCCGCATTTAGTTTGCTGTGACCCAGATATGACCCTAAAGTTGACCTCGCGCGCCCTAGTAACCCTTGAGTTGACCTATTTTCCTTCACTCGTTCAACTCTAGATTCTATATATTATAATATTTTAAGTCTGTGTGCATGGCATAGCTGTTATGTCTCTAGGATAAGAAAAAAGCTGACTGCCTAGGCTGAAATAAAATTTGTTTACATCCAGTGCATGAGGGAGATGTTGTAGGTCTAAGGCAGCACACACCAGCTAGGCGTGTGTCGCGCTGTGCAGCCAGCCAGCCCGCGCAGCGCCGCTAGCGAACCACGGTGACTGACCTCAGTCGAGTAGGTAACATGGGGTCATACTGACATAACGGCATGCTGACCCGAAATAACTCTTGCCGTGCTGTGTTAGACATTTTTTATCCTGACCGCGGATTCTTAGCTTGTGAATTTAACCGGAGTTGCAAGTGTTTATCCTCAAGTATCATGTGAGCATAAGGTAGGTTGTTTCTACTCTACTGTTCATTGTTTTGGTGGCGAGATCAGCTTCTGCCTATCAGCTTCCCCGTCGTACGCTGATGGCTGGTGTGTACAGTGGTGTGTTCAACTTGTACGTACAAAGATTGATACACCATCTGACACGTATGCACACGCTTCATTTCAATTTGTCTGCGCCATATCAATACTGTACTAGATTCTAATTTAACTAACTAAAATGCTAGATCTAGCTTTACTTTATAAAAAATTGCAACATTAGTCATCTAGATCTAGAACCAATACATCCGTTTATTCCAAATCCAGTAGCACTTGGTGTCAACTAATGACGCATCGTATAGGTTTCATCTTTCATCCATACCTCCGTAACATCCCCACCCCAAGTATCAATATCACACCCCAGTATGTCATCACACCCCTATATCATCACATATCCATTGTCATATGTCATCCCACCTTCAGTATCCCACCTTGCATGTCACCACACTCCCAGTATATGTCATCACACCCCCAATATGTCATCACACCCCCAATATGTCATCTCTTCCCCAGTATGTCATCACCCCCCCCCAGTATATTGTCATCACCCCCCAGTATATTATTTCATCACACCCCCGTATGTCGCCACACCCCAGTATGTCATCAGACTGCCAGTATGTCATCACACCCCCAGTTTGTCATCACACACCCCCAGTATGTCATCACACCCCCAGTATGTCATCACACCCCCAGTATGTCATCACACCCCCAGTTTGTCATCACACCCCCAGTATGTCATCACACCCCAGTATGTCATCACACCCCAGTATGTCATTACACACCCAGTATGTCATCACCCCCCAGTATGTCATCACACCCCCCAGTATGTCATCACACACCCCCAGTATGTCATCACACCCAGCCCAGTATGTCATTACCCCCAGCCCAGTATGTCATCACCCATAGCCCAGTATGTCATCAGACCGCCAGTATGTCATCACACACCCCCAGTATGTCATCACACACCCCCCAGTATGTCATCACCCCCAGCCCAGTATGTCATCAGACCCCCAGTATGTCATCACCCCCAGCCCAGTATGTCATCACACCCCAGTATGTCATCACACCCCCAGTATGTCATTACCCCCAGCCCAGTATGTCATCAGACTGCCAGTATGTCATCACACACCCCCCAGTATGTCATCACACCCCCAGTATGTCATCACACCCCCAGTATGTCATCACACACCCCCAGTATGTCATCACCCCCCAGTATGTCATTATCCCCAGCCCAGTATGTCATCACCCCCAGCCCAGTATGTCATCACCCCCAGTATGTCATCACACCCCCATTAAGTCATCACCCCCCAGTATGTCATCACACACCCCCCCAGTATGTCATCACACCCCCAGTATGTCATCACCCTAGCCCAGTATGTCATCACACCCCCAGCCCAGTATGTCATCACACCCCCAGTATGTCATCACCCCCAGTATGTCATCACACCTCAGTATGTCATCACCCCCAGCCCATTATGTCATCACCCCCAGCCCAGTATGTCATCACACCCCCAGTATGTCATCACACACCCCCAGTATGTCATCACACCCCAGTATGTCATCACGCCCCCAGTATGTCATCACACCCCCAGTATGTCATCACACCCCCCAGTAAGTCATCACCACCCAGTATGTCATCACCCCCAGCCCAGTATGTCATCACCCCCAGCCCAGTATGTCATCACACCCCCAGTATGTCATCACCCCCAGCCCAGTATGTCATCACACCCCCAGTATGTCATCACCCCCCAGTATGTCATCAGACCCCCAGTATGTCATCACCCCCAGTATGTCATCACACCCCAGTATGTCATCACACAACCCACAGTATGTCATCACCCCCAGTATGTCATCACCCCCAGCCCAGTATGTCATCAGACCGCCAGTATGTCATCACACCCCCCCAGTATGTCATCACACCCCAGTATGTCATCACACCCCCAGTATGTCATTACCCCCAGCCCAGTATGTCATCAGACTGCCAGTATGTCATCACCCCCAGCCCAGTATGTCATCACACCCCAGTATGTCATCACACCCCCAGTATGTCATTACCCCCAGCCCAGTATGTCATCACACCCCCAGTATGTCATCACACCCCCCAGTATGTCATCACCCCCAGTATGTCATTACCCCCAGTATGTCATCACCCCCAGTCCAGTATGTCATCAGACCGCCGGTATGTCATCACACCCCCCAGTATGTCATCACACCCCAGTATGTCATCACACCCCCAGTATGTCATTACCCCCAGCCCAGTATGTCATCAGACTGCCAGTATGTCATCACCCCCAGCCCAGTATGTCATCACACCCCCAGTATGTCATTACCCCCAGCCCAGTATGTCATCAGACCGCCAGTATGTCATCACACCCCCAGTATGTCATCAGCCCCAGTATGTCATCACACCCCAGTATGTCATCACACCCCCAGTATGTCATCACACCCCAGTATGTCATCACACCCCCAGTATGTCATCACACCCCCCAGTATGTCATTACCCCCCAGTATGTCATCACACCCAGCCCAGTATGTCATCACACACCCCCCAGTATGTCATCACCCCCTAGTATGTCATTACCCCCCAGTATGTCATCACACCCAGCCCAGTATGTCATCACACACCCCCCAGTATGTCATCACACACCCCCAGTATGTCATCACCCCCTAGTATGTCATCACCCCCAGCCCAGTATGTCATCACACCCCAGTATGTCATCACACCCCCAGTATGTCATCAGACCGCCAGTATGTCATCAGACCGCCAGTATGTCATCACCCCCAGTATGTCATCACACCCCAGTATGTCATCACACCCCCAGTATGTCATTACCCCCAGCCTAGTATGTCATCACACCCCCAGTATGTCATCACACCCCCCAGTATGTTATCACCCCCAGTATGTCATTACCCCCCAGTATGTCATCAGACTGCCAGTATGTCATCACACCCCCAGTATGTCATCACACCCCAGTATGTCATCACACCCCAGTATGTCATCACACCCCAGTATGTCATCACACCCCAGTATGTCATTACCCCCAGCCCAGTATGTCATCACCCCCAGCCCAGTATGTCATTACCCCCAGCCCAGTATGTCATCACCCCCAGCCCAGTATGTCATTACCCCCAGCCCAGTATGTCATCACACCCCCAGTATGTCATCACACCCCCCAGTATGTCATCACCCCCAGTATGTCATTACCCCCAGTATGTCATCACCCCCAGTCCAGTATGTCATCAGACCGCCGGTATGTCATCACACCCCCCCAGTATGTCATCACACCCCAGTATGTCATCACACCCCCAGTATGTCATTACCCCCAGCCCAGTATGTCATCAGACTGCCAGTATGTCATCACCCCCAGCCCAGTATGTCATCACACCCCAGTATGTCATCACACCCCCAGTATGTCATTACCCCCAGCCCAGTATGTCATCACACCCCCAGTATGTCATCACACCCCCCAGTATGTCATCACTCTCAGTATGTCATTACCCCCAGTATGTCATCACCCCCAGCCCAGTATGTCATCAGACCGCCAGTATGTCATCACACCCCCAGTATGTCATCACCCCCAGTATGTCATCACACCCCCAGTATGTCATCACACCCTAGTATGTCATCACACCCCCAGTATGTCATCACACACCCCAGTATGTCATTACCCCCCAGTATGTCATCACACCCAGCCCAGTATGTCATCACACACCCCCCAGTAATTTATCACACACCCCCCAGTAATTTATCACACACCCCAGTACATCATCACACCCCAGTATGTCATCACCCCCAGCCCAGTATGTCATCACACCCCAGTATGTCATCACACCCCCAGTATGTCATCAGACCGCCAGTATGTCATCAGACCGCCAGTATGTCATCACCCCCAGTATGTCATCACACCCCAGTATGTCATCACACCCCCAGTATGTCATTACCCCCAGCCCAGTATGTCATCACACCCCCAGTATGTCATCACACCCCCAGTATGTTATTACCCCCAGTATGTCATCAGACTGCCAGTATGTCATCACACCCCCAGTATGTCATCACACCCCAGTATGTCATCACACCCCAGTATGTCATCACACCCCAGTATGTCATTACCCCCAGCCCAGTATGTCATCACCCCCAGCCCAGTATGTCATTACCCCCAGCCCAGTATGTCATCACCCCCAGCCCAGTATGTCATTACCCCCCAGTATGTCATCAGACTGCCAGTATGTCATCACACCCCCAGTATGTCATCACACCCCAGTATGTCATCACACCCCAGTATGTCATCACACCCCAGTATGTCATCACACCCCAATATGTCATTACCCCCAGCCCAGTATGTCATCACACCCCCAGTATGTCATCACCCCCAGCCCAGTATGTCATCACCCCCAGCCCAGTATGTCATCACCCCCAGCCCAGTATGTCATCACCCCCAGTATGTCATCACACCCCCATATTGTATGTGCTCATGCTCCTTATCACAATGTAGCAATGCTGCTCTAGAATCACCTTATCACAATGTAGCAATGCTGCTCTAGAATCACCTTATCACAATGTAGCAATGCTGCTCTAGAATCACCTTATCACAATGTAGCAATGCTGCTCTAGAATCATCTTATCACAATGTAGCAATGCTGCTCTAGAATCATCTTATCACAATGTAGCAATGCTGCTCTAGAATCTTGTATTGATTTTCTTTCTGCCTCCTGACCCAGATCATTAAATGCAAGGGATGGATCTGACCTAGATATCTTTAGCCAGTATGTGTTGTGTGACCTAGTTTTCTTTAGCCAGTATGTGTTCTGTGTGACCTAGTTTTCTTTAGCCAGTATGTGTTCTGTGTGACCTACTTATCTTTAGCCAGTATGTGTTCTGTGTGACCTACTTATCTTTAGCCAGTATGTGTTCTGTGTGACCTACTTATCTTTAGCCAGTATGTGTTCTGTGTGACCTAGTTTTCTTTAGCCAGTATGTGTTCTGTGTGACCTACTTATCTTTAGCCAGTATGTGTTCTGTGTGACCTACTTATCTTTAACCAGTATGTGTTCTGTGTGACCTAGTTATCGTTATCCAGTATGTGTTCTGTGTGACCTAGTTTTCTTTAGCCGGTATGTGTTCTGTGTGACCTAGTTGTTTTTATTCCTTTTTTGTGTGAGCTATTAATCTTAAGCCAGTATGTTTTCATTCAGCTGATATTGTTGTGTCTGCCTCTGACAGCCATTTTAGTATGACAACCAGCCATCTACCTCAGGGCCCCGGAGGCTCCTCCCATGGAAACTAGGTCATGTTAAAAATGCCTCCACCAAAAAAACCAAAGAATGGACCAACCAGTGTTGAGCAGTTTCTTTCTAAAGAGGAACTCCAGGTATGTATGTTATCATAGGCTATTATATGTCATATGTATGGCTGATTCTTCTCTGTATGCTAGTGTATGTCCTCAGTTTATGACCTATGTATGGCTGCTTCTTCTCTGTATGCTAGTGTATGTCCTCAGTTTATGACCTATATATGGCTGATTCTTCTCTGTATGCTAGTGTATGTCCTCAGTTTATGACCTATATATGGCTGATTCTTCTCTGTATGCTAGTGTATGTCCTCAGTTTATGACCTATATATGGCTGATTCTTCTCTGTGTGCTAGTGTATGTCCTCAGTTTATGACCTATGTATGGCTGCCTGATATATGCTAATGTATTACTGCCTCACAAATACTCTTCTGTTTTTTTAGGTGCTTGGCAAAGACAAGCGGGGCAAACTAGTTCAGCATGGAGAAGTTTCAATGCCAGCACCCCCTTCACGCATACAGCCTAGCCCCCCTTCGAGGGATCAGGCTAGACCCCCCTCGAGGGATCAGGCTAGACCCCCCTCGAGGGATCAGGCTAGACCACCTTCGAGGGATCAGGCTAGACCCCCTTCGAGGGATCAGGCTAGACCCCCTTCGAGGGATCAGGCTAGACCCCCTTCGAGGGATCAGGCTAGACCCAGGGTGCAGCATAGCCCAGCCATGCAGGGCAGCTCCACCAGTGCAGGGCTCCTGGAGCGACTGTTCAGCTCTCACCCAGGGGACAGCCCCTGGCCGCCTCCGGTTGTTCCTCCCAGTACATCTCCCTCTATCTTGGCCTCACTGTTCAGCGCTGAGGAGACCATTTTGCTCAAACCTCAAAACTACCTCGGCAGAGTCCACCCCGCCTTCACGCTACCTCCCTCATCTACCTCAGCCTACCCCCACCCCCCAGGCAGCAGACCAGTGGCCAGCTTGCTGGATTTGTCATTCAAGAAAAAAGATGATGCAACAAACTCCTTCATGGTGGCAGCATTGCTTGACGGTCCCCGGCTGGACCCCAGTCATGTCATGGTCGCTCCCCCACCCCTGGGGCTAACTGGACTACTCAAGATCAACTTTCAATCTACCTCACTACTCGCAGCAGATACCTCACTACTCGCAGCAGTCAAACAAGAACATCAGTCTGACTTGGCCCACCATTCTGACTTGGCCCACCATTCTGACTTGGCCCATCATTCTGACTTGGCCCATCATTCTGACTTGGATCAAGAGAAGTGAGTAATCTTTATTTGTTTGCCAAAAACTGTTTTTTGTTCTTTCTTCTAATTATGTCACTCCGAGTTTTTCTTTTTGCTTATTTGAAAACTACTTTCAGATATAAAGCAAGTATTAAAAAAACCTTTATAAGCTTTTAAATGTACTGAAAATAGAAAATGCAGAAAACTTGCTTCCATCTATATATATATATATATATATATATATATTATATATATATATATATATATATATATATATATATATATATATATATATATATATATATATATATATAAATGAAAGTATGTGGGTTTGCAGGTTTGCACTTTATACTTGACTACACCTTTCATCAATAAAACATTGGGAAGTTGTTCATAATACCCCTGGAGAAGTTACTGAGCAAAAAAAAGAAAAAATGTCATGCTTCATTTCATTCTTCTCTATATATGGTGTCATGCTTCATTTCATTCTTCTCTATATATGGTGTCATGCTTCATTTCATTCTTCTCTATATATGGTGTCATGCTTCATTTCATTCTTCTCTATATATGGTACATAAAAAAAAAATCCATCTGGGTTTGACCACGTTCATCTGATCATTGGGAAGCTGATAAGAATACTCCAGGGGAGGTTTCTGCAAAAAAAAGTTTTTTTTAAATTTTGTGAGGGTTCGCCCCGGGAAGGTGGGATTTTTCAATGTGTATGTCTGTATATGGTATATAATAAATAAAAGTTGAAGACGGCTTCATACCCTTAATTCAAGTGCCATGAAACTTTAGGTAGTTCATGGGTATAATCCCAAGAAGATTTCGGACACTATTAAATGTATATATTTTCTGTATAAATTCCATATGTTCAGGGGGGGGGGGGGCAGTAGATTTTTTCCTGGGGGGGGGGGGGGGCTGAGCCGAAGAGACACCTGGAAGAAACTCTGGTAACACATTAATGAAATCCTTTTAAAATATGAGCAGCCATTGCATTTATAAAAGAGAACAAGCTTTATTTTTTTATAAGCTTTTATTTAATTCACAGTATCTCTTGTGTAAGTAGGCCTATACTTATTTGCCCTTGCATTGTCATTGGAAACAAATGTATCTTGAAAGTTTGATCCAAATCACTGCATTAGAACTTTGTCAACATCAAGTTGCAAGATTTTTCACAATGCATTAACTTAACACTCTAAACATACATGGGATATCCCATTAACTTAACACTCTAAACATACATGGGATATCCAATTAACTTAACACTCTAAACATACATGGGATATCCCATTAACTTAACACTCTAAACATACATGGGATATCCCATTAACTTAACACTATAAACATACATGGGATATCCCATTAACTTAACACTATAAACATACATGGGATATCCCATTAACTTAACACTGTAAACATACATGGGATATCCCATTAACTTAACACTATAAACATACATGGGATATCCCATTAACTTAACACTATAAACATACATGGGATATCCCATTAACTTAACACTGTAAACATACATGGGATATCCCATGTGGGGTATCCCTGAGTGTCAAGTGGGGTGCCCACTATCATGGTCACTCCACACAGCCCCCCACTATCACCCCCGCCCTCTCATGGACTCTCCTACAGCAGGCCACAAACATAGGGTGTGTTCATTTGGTGTTCTCCTACAGCAGGCCACAAACATAGGGTGTGTTCATTTGGTGTTCTCCTACAGCAGGCCACAAACATAGGGTGTGTTCATTTGGTGTTCTCCTACAGCAGGCCACAAACATAGGGTGTGTTCATTTGGTGTTCTCCTACAGCAGGCCACAAACATAGGGTGTGTTCATTTGGTGTTCTCCTACAGCAGGCCACAAACTTAGGGTGTGTTCATTTGGTGTTCTCCTACAGCAGGCCACAAACATAGGGTGTGTTCATTTGGTGTTCTCCTACAGCAGGCCACAAACATAGGGTGTGTTCATTTGGTGTTCTCCCTCCTACAGCAGGCCACAAACATAGGGTGTGTTCATTTGGTGTTCTCCTACAGCAGGCCACAAACATAGGGTGTGTTCATTTGGTGTTCTCCCTCCTACAGCAGGCCACAAACATAGGGTGTGTTCATTTGGTGTTCTCCTACAGCAGGCCACAAACATAGGGTGTGTTCATTTGGTGTTCTCCCTCCTACAGCAGGCCACAAACATAGGGTGTGTTCATTTGGTGTTCTCCCTCCTACAGCAGGCCACAAACATAGGGTGTGTTCATTTGGTGTTCTCCTACAGCAGGCCACAAACATAGGGTGTGTTCATTTGGTGTTCTCCTACAGCAGGCCACAAACATAGGGTGTGTTCATTTGGTGTTCTCCCTCCTACAGCAGGCCACAAACATAGGGTGTGTTCATTTGGTGTTCTCCTACAGCAGGCCACAAACATAGGGTGTGTTCATTTGGTGTTCTCCTACAGCAGGCCACAAACATAGGGTGTGTTCATTTGGTGTTCTCCCTCTTACAGCAGGCCACAAACATAGGGTGTGTTCATTTGGTGTTCTCCTACAGCAGCCCACAAACATAGGGTGTGTTCATTTGGTGTTCTCCCTCCTACAGCAGCCCACAAACATAGGGTGTGTTCATTTGGTGTTCTCCTACAGCAGGCCACAAACATAGGGTGTGTTCATTTGGTGTTCTCCTACAGCAGGCCACAAACATAGGGTGTGTTCATTTGGTGTTCTCCCTTCTACAGCAGGCCACAAACATAGGGTGTGTTCATTTGGTGTTCTCCTACAGCAGGCCACAAACATAGGGTGTGTTCATTTGGTGTTCTCCCTCCTACAGCAGCCCACAAACATAGGGTGTGTTCATTTGGTGTTCTCCTACAGCAGGCCACAAACATAGGGTGTGTTCATTTGGTGTTCTCCCTCCTACAGCAGGCCACAAACATAGGGTGTGTTCATTTGGTGTTCTCCCTTCTACAGCAGGCCACAAACATAGGGTGTGTTCATTTGGTGTTCTCCCTTCTACAGCAGGCCACAAACATAGGGTGTGTTCATTTGGTGTTCTCCTACAGCAGGCCACAAACATAGGGTGTGTTCATTTGGTGTTCTCCTACAGCAGGCCACAAACATAGGGTGTGTTCATTTGGTGTTCTCCTACAGCAGGCCACAAACATAGGGTGTGTTCATTTGGTGTTCTCCTACAGCAGGCCACAAACATAGGGTGTGTTCATTTGGTGTTCTCCCTTCTACAGCAGGCCACAAACATAGGGTGTGTTCATTTGGTGTTCTCCCTTCTACAGCAGGCCACAAACATAGGGTGTGTTCATTTGGTGTTCTCCTACAGCAGGCCACAAACATAGGGTGTGTTCATTTGGTGTTCTCCTACAGCAGGCCACAAACATAGGGTGTGTTCATTTGGTGTTCTCCCTCCTACAGCAGGCCACAAACATAGGGTGTGTTCATTTGGTGTTCTCCCTCCTACAGCAGGCCACAAATATAGGGTGTGTTCATTTGGTGTTCTCCCTTCTACAGCAGGCCACAAACATAGGGTGTGTTCATTTGGTGTTCTCCTACAGCAGGCCACAAACATAGGGTGTGTTCATTTGGTGTTCTCCTACAGCAGGCCACAAACATAGGGTGTGTTCATTTGGTGTTCTCCTACAGCAGGCCACAAACATAGGGTGTGTTCATTTGTGTTCTCCCTCCTACAGCAGGCCACAAACATAGGGTGTGTTCATTTGGTGTTCTCCCTTCTACAGCAGGCCACAAACATAGGGTGTGTTCATTTGGTGTTCTCCCTTCTACAGCAGGCCACAAACATAGGGTGTGTTCATTTGGTGTTCTCCTACAGCAGGCCACAAACATAGGGTGTGTTCATTTGGTGTTCTCCTACAGCAGGCCACAAACATAGGGTGTGTTCATTTGGTGTTCTCCTACAGCAGGCCACAAACATAGGGTGTGTTCATTTGTGTTCTCCCTCCTACAGCAGGCCACAAACATAGGGTGTGTTCATTTGGTGTTCTCCCTTCTACAGCAGGCCACAAACATAGGGTGTGTTCATTTGGTGTTCTCCTACAGCAGGCCACAAACATAGGGTGTGTTCATTTGGTGTTCTCCCTCCTACAGCAGGCCACAAACATAGGGTGTGTTCATTTGGTGTTCTCCTACAGCAGGCCACAAACATAGGGTGTGTTCATTTGGTGTTCTCCTACAGCAGGCCACAAACATAGGGTGTGTTCATTTGGTGTTCTCCCTCCTACAGCAGGCCACAAACATAGGGTGTGTTCATTTGGTGTTCTCCTACAGCAGGCCACAAACATAGGGTGTGTTCATTTGGTGTTCTCCCTCCTACAGCAGGCCACAAACATAGGGTGTGTTCATTTGGTGTTCTCCTACAGCAGGCCACAAACATAGGGTGTGTTCATTTGGTGTTCTCCTACAGCAGGCCACAAACATAGGGTGTGTTCATTTGGTGTTCTCCTACAGCAGGCCACAAACATAGGGTGTGTTCATTTGGTGTTCTCCTACAGCAGGCCACAAACATAGGGTGTGTTCATTTGGTGTTCTCCTACAGCAGGCCACAAACATAGGGTGTGTTCATTTGGTGTTCTCCCTCCTACAGCAGGCCACAAACATAGGGTGTGTTCATTTGGTGTTCTCCTACAGCAGGCCACAAACATAGGGTGTGTTCATTTGGTGTTCTCCTACAGCAGGCCACAAACATAGGGTGTGTTCATTTGGTGTTCTCCTACAGCAGGCCACAAACATAGGGTGTGTTCATTTGGTGTTCTCCTACAGCAGGCCACAAACATAGGGTGTGTTCATTTGGTGTTCTCCCTCCTACAGCAGGCCACAAACATAGGGTGTGTTCATTTGGTGTTCTCCTACAGCAGGCCACAAACATAGGGTGTGTTCATTTGGTGTTCTCCTACAGCAGGCCACAAACATAGGGTGTGTTCATTTGGTGTTCTCCCTCCTACAGCAGGCCACAAACATAGGGTGTGTTCATTTGGTGTTCTCCCTCCTACAGCAGGCCACAAACATAGGGTGTG